TATTGTTAAATAGAATAAAGTTCAACTATTGTTAAATAGAATAAAGTTCAACTAAACTCACTGTTTTGCTTCCGTTACGTTTTAGCATGCGCCTTATAATACGGTGCGCCTTATGTATGGGTTAAGTACAGAAATAGACCCCGTAATTGAGACTGCGCCTTATAATCTGGTGCGCCTTATGGTGCGCAAAATACGATATACTAAAAAGGTACATTAATATTTCATGTCAACAAAATATGATATGCAAGACACTGGACACTGCATTCATATGTTTACTTTAGCACTGCACAATAAATATTAATAAATGCAATAAATAAAATGTAGGTTTCTTGAACCATTAATGCTCATACATAAAGCTGAACTTATGAAATCAGTGAGTTGCTGTGGTGCTTTAGCTCCAGTCTTGAGGGGCTGCTATAAGGTTCTCTAACCACTAGATGTCACTGTGCTGCTGAGTTTAGAGTCTTTTTGAGTACCAACAAAAAAAGCCCAAGACTTTCATAAGGCTTCTGCCACCAATCATTAAGAAACAATTGATAAAGCCCAGCTCCCTTAATTGATCATTCATAACTCCTTGATCATAGTTTAACCTAGAAGTCATTTGGATGCGCCATCTTGAAGGACATCCTAAAGCTATTTTTCCTGTTCTGAGGAGCAAGGAGGCTGACCTTCATCTTTAGTAAACTGTGATGGGCATTTTTCAGTGTTCTAATGCCTCTTGTCCTGCCATGACATGTATGTCCACAGGAGTAGTAATTTGCCATCAAGATTACTAACAGGTTAACCTCAATAACATCCAAATGTATGCAGCAAGATACACCAAACTCTGATCAGATCTTTAGTCCATATGGAGACCTGTGGTTTAAGCAGGAAGCTTCTCTATATTGCTCTGCCATTATTGCATTCACAGTGAATCGTAATCAAAAAGTTTCTAATTTGGCATGATTTGCTTTACACAGGACTTACAATTCGTCCCTCTGTAGCAACAAGGCTAGCATTACGACGGACTGGTGTGCAGAACCCCCACCCATAAGAAGCCTGGTCTCAAACAGCTACCACGATCCTGCCTCTGTCCACCCATCCTACCAGGAACTGACAGAAAACAAGAGGAGGAAACCTACCTGAAAGCGCCCGAAGTTCCTGGACGATGGTGCACTCACTTTAACATTTACAGGAAGAACATTTCCTATAGCAGAGACAAACTTTTAGACCCTTAACTTCTTCACTTAGAATCTGCCCTGTATTAACGACACTTTGACTCACCTGACAAGATGCCCTTTGCGATGCCGAAGGCCATATTCCCAGCACCAATAAAACCGACCTTCAGCTGTGAATCCATCTCAGGGTCCATTTTAATCTGAAACAGCAGCAGAGGACAGGTTAGAGCAACAGCAATGGCCTCTGACATCAGTGATTCACAATTACCTAAAAGCTCAGGGGGTGAATCACAAGTGTGTATCACACTGATGTTATCTATGATAATAGCAATTACAGCTGCAACAAGTAGCTCGTTAGTCACCCGACACAAAATTAGATGGAAACTATTCTGATCATTAAGTAATTGTTATTATCTCCACCAAGATTATGTTTTTGGTTCTGTGTGTGTTGGTTAGCAAACCCCACTTAACACATATTTTCTGCCATAATTTGGCCTGTAATGAAGACAGAACCCTGAAATGTTCCGGTAAGATGCACAGTTTAACTGCCTGTCATACCCTAAAAGATGATCTGGATCCCGTCTGGATCAACAATGTCAGGACACATTTTGTGCTGTCCTGGATCACATTTTTCACAAAGGACCCATTTTCCTGAGCGGATGTTGTGACTTGGCGGAGGCACATGCCACGATCCTGCCTCTGTCCACCCATCCTACCAGGAACTGACAGAAAACAAGAGGAGGAAACCTACCTGAAAGCGCCCGAAGTTCCTGGACGATGGTGCACTCACTTTAACATTTACAGGAAGAACATTTCCTATAGCAGAGACAAACTTTTAGACCCTTAACTTCTTCACTTAGAATCTGCCCTGTATTAACGACACTTTGACTCACCTGACAAGATGCCCTTTGCGATGCCGAAGGCCATATTCCCAGCACCAATAAAACCGACCTTCAGCTGTGAATCCATCTCAGGGTCCATTTTAATCTGAAACAGCAGCAGAGGACAGGTTAGAGCAACAGCAATGGCCTCTGACATCAGTGATTCACAATTACCTAAAAGCTCAGGGGGTGAATCACAAGTGTGTATCACACTGATGTTATCTATGATAATAGCAATTACAGCTGCAACAAGTAGCTCGTTAGTCACCCGACACAAAATTAGATGGAAACTATTCTGATCATTAAGTAATTGTTATTATCTCCACCAAGATTGTTTTTGGTTCTGTGTGTGTTGGTTAGCAAACCCCACTTAACACATATTTTCTGCCATAATTTGGCCTGTAATGAAGACAGAACCCTGAAATGTTCCGGTAAGATGCACAGTTTAACTGCCTGTCATATGAGGAGCAAGGAGGCTGACCTTCATCTTTAGTAAACTGTGATGGGCATTTTTCAGTGTTCTAATGCCTCTTGTCCTGCCATGACATGTATGTCCACAGGAGTAGTAATTTGCCATCAAGATTACTAACAGGTTAACCTCAATAACATCCAAATGTATGCAGCAAGATACACCAAACTCTGATCAGATCTTTAGTCCATATGGAGACCTGTGGTTTAAGCAGGAAGCTTCTCTATATTGCTCTGCCATTATTGCATTCACAGTGAATCGTAATCAAAAAGTTTCTAATTTGGCATGATTTGCTTTACACAGGACTTACAATTCGTCCCTCTGTAGCAACAAGGCTAGCATTACGACGGACTGGTGTGCAGAACCCCCACCCATAAGAAGCCTGGTCTCAAACAGCTACCACGATCCTGCCTCTGTCCACCCATCCTACCAGGAACTGACAGAAAACAAGAGGAGGAAACCTACCTGAAAGCGCCCGAAGTTCCTGGACGATGGTGCACTCACTTTAACATTTACAGGAAGAACATTTCCTATAGCAGAGACAAACTTTTAGACCCTTAACTTCTTCACTTAGAATCTGCCCTGTATTAACGACACTTTGACTCACCTGACAAGATGCCCTTTGCGATGCCGAAGGCCATATTCCCAGCACCAATAAAACCGACCTTCAGCTGTGAATCCATCTCAGGGTCCATTTTAATCTGAAACAGCAGCAGAGGACAGGTTAGAGCAACAGCAATGGCCTCTGACATCAGTGATTCACAATTACCTAAAAGCTCAGGGGGTGAATCACAAGTGTGTATCACACTGATGTTATCTATGATAATAGCAATTACAGCTGCAACAAGTAGCTCGTTAGTCACCCGACACAAAATTAGATGGAAACTATTCTGATCATTAAGTAATTGTTATTATCTCCACCAAGATTATGTTTTTGGTTCTGTGTGTGTTGGTTAGCAAACCCCACTTAACACATATTTTCTGCCATAATTTGGCCTGTAATGAAGACAGAACCCTGAAATGTTCCGGTAAGATGCACAGTTTAACTGCCTGTCATACCCTAAAAGATGATCTGGATCCCGTCTGGATCAACAATGTCAGGACACATTTTGTGCTGTCCTGGATCACATTTTTCACAAAGGACCCATTTTCCTGAGCGGATGTTGTGACTTGGCGGAGGCACATGCACTCTCCGAGTGCTCGTTTCTACAGCAAAAATGTCTGAAAATTTGCTGATTAAACTTCCTCAAATGTAAGATGTTTTTCCTTTATCATATTTTATGGAGTGCTTGTTAAGTAGAACAAGGAATATGAATGCATCCCTTTGGCCTGGCATAAATTACGGCATTTTTCACTATTCATGAAAATTAATCTCCCTATATTACATATTTATTGAATGTACACACATCCTTTCAGGTACTGCAAAGAGACATGCCTGGAATAAGTAATAATCCAAATTAGAATGTTGTTTTGACATGATTTTTTTTTTGTTTTTTGTTCGTTTGTTTTTGTTTTTCAAAGCTTGAGTAAAGTGTTGCTCTGCCCAAACCTGTACACGTGCTGTTCATTGACAGCTGGATCAGGACCAAAACATTTTTATGGTGAACCACATACACAAATTCATTTGCAGGTTCAGTTTCTTAACAACAAGGAATGTTAAAATAATTTTGATTTTAAACAAGAAAATGCAGGTTATAGATAAATATTTACAATACTTGTACATAAATCTGAAACAACACAGTCAGGCACCAACATCACTGGTGGTCTAAGCTAGTTCAAATATCCAATTCAACAGTAATGAAAGTGTGGCGACAGTGGAAGCGTGATGGAGCACAATGTGGAGCAAGGCAACAGTAAAACACAGACATAAAATGAAAGTTATGTGCATGAGGCTGTTAACCCAGAGCATGCTGGGAGGGATCCTAACACGCCTACCTCATGCACCTGCAATCACATGATCAAAACTCAGCCAATCAAATCAAAGTCCTCAAACTTATTCCAGAACCAAATTAGTTGAATGAAAATTAGCAAGGTTATTTAAGCTTGATATCAGCATGTGAGCCCGAATTACAAAACAAGGCCCAGGTTGAGGCAAGAATTCAGATAGCTAGGAAGTTAAATCCCAGCTGACTTGGCCCTTCCCCTTCACTGTTGCCACAGCCTTCTCTATTGTGGGCCTTTTTGTCATGCAAAGGCATCTTTAACCCAGATAAGATCTTATGGGGCCAGAAAGCTGGTTTCTGCAGCAGAAAAACCAGTCTGTCCTTAAATTTGATTACTCCCTGGAATTTTTACCTGCAGCTAAAAGCTGAGTGATCATATTTCTGGAAGGCTTATTGCAAACAAAAGAATACATCACAATATCAGAACATTTGCTCTTTTTCCCTATATGACCAATAGAATCTTTTTAGGTTCGACTGTTGGCTGGTGAAGTACTATCAAGATGCCAGTGGGAGCTGCAATAGGAAGTCAGTTGGCAGCTACTATTTTTGATAACCTAATCATTTGTCAATTCTCATGCAAAAAGTACAACTATTTTCAGGCTTCAGCTTCTCAAATGCGAAGATTTGCTACTTTGTGATTTGACGGTTTAGTGAGCCTGAGGAGAGACTCAGAGAAATACATTACACTTTTTTTTAAACTAAATAGCCAATCAACAACAACGAATTGATGCAGTCCTACAGAGATGGTAAATCTTACCTGTAGGTTTTGGACTAACAAGACAAACCACTGGACTATGTCGGCTTTGTAGGCTCCTTAAGGTAACTGTGATAGTTTTTATTAGACCAACTAACTGAATACTCTGTTCATCACCTACCCACCAACCTATGCTACTGCCAGAATGAGCACAAGGCTGAATCAGCAGTTAAACTACTGAGCCTGAGTAATAAACTGAGTGGACGTCAGAACAAACCCAGAGGCACACTGATGGCCAACTAACATTCAACCCAGACAACACATGACAGAAATAAATGACAGTTTTCACAGTTATGATCTAATGGCAGACTACATCGCATCCACGGTATCGCCCCTACAATTAAATCCAGGTTCTGAGTGGTATCGTCCGGGCAGGGCTGCGGCCAGTGCAGCACTGATGCTTCACCATCCGAGTCTTCAGTCACTTCGTCATTCCTGTCTGCGTTGACCCCAGCTCCGACTAAGGGGTGTCTGGACTCCATGATGGCAACCATTGTCTTTTCATAGCGCCACCAGCCCTGTATCTTGGTGGGGGCCGGGGAATTGGGCTCTCTCTTGCACTTGTAGTACGCACTTTTGAGGAGTTTCCAGCGAAACTTCAATTGGTCCACAGATCTGTGATAACCGGCCGCTGTCATCCTCCTGTGTGCCACCTTGAAGAGTTTGTTATTTCTCACTTTCCTCCCGTCTAGGCATTTCTTCATGTCCAGTTCCTTGAGGATTTCAAGAAACAACTCCGTCTCCTTCACGTCCCAGTTTTGCTTCTTGATACCGGAGTCGTCCATTGTTGTGGCAACGATGCCTAGTTAGCTCGACGGCTAGCAAACGTTAGCCTATCGATGCGATCTTCACACGCTAGGTTGCTAATTAGCATCTCAGGGGCAGAGGTGTGATACTACAGGCTTAGACCTGAAGCGTTAACTATATTTAACCTACAAGTCGTGGAAACTATGTCAGTAAGATGTTAAAGTCCTGCTCTTAAAAGCCACGATTGCTGAAAACTAGCCCTGTGATGCATATGGCTAGGGATAACCAGAAAATAATCCCGAACAGATTAGATTAGAAATACAATGCACGTGTTTCTTGTTGACTGGACAACCATAAAGTAACACGGAGTGACATAAATACTATAACTGGCGATACCGTGGGTGACACCAGCTAATGACGGCGATAGGATATTTATTCACCTGATGTTTTTCAGATTTCCTGATGTCCGACGTTTTCTAAGGTCCAAGATGCAGGTTAATTTGAGCTACCAAGTCCGTCCGTCCGATTCACCCGGACCATCCACAAAACTATGGATTGGTTTGTTTTGTTTTTTTTTATCTCTTCATCGCTGCACCAGGTGGGCGGCGCATTTATTTTCATCCGCGTATTCCACACGATTCCACAGAGTACCTATCGATTTCGGCGTGATATAAATCGAGCACACCTTAAACCCGGTCCCAAGTAGGCAAGCATTTCCATTGGCTGCTTCTTCGTTGTTTAGGGCGGGATGAAAATTTACTTGTCATTCCCATCAGCTGTGTGAGGGAGATCTGGGTTTAGCGTTTTCTGGGTGCGAACGATCCTTCTGCAAACAGCAGGTAGGCTTTTAGACGTATTTTATTTGTGCATTTAATCAAGCATGCATAAATGATCTTGGCATTTTATTCACATATGTTACTGTAAAAAGTAAAAACTTCCTGCGCTTTTTATTTTTTTCTGCTTAAAGTAAAATGAATGAGCGGGGGGGTTCATTCATTGTTTGCCTTTTCCCCGATAAAAATTAATTCACTCGTTATCATTAATAAGATCTGTATTCCAATGTCTAAACGGTGTTTCGGGGGTATCCAGTTGTAGGCGAGCTTGTGCAGCCGGACAGACAGACATGCCCGGGCAAAGCCTCCCTGTGGTCTTCATTCAAACATACAAATGAATGGATTATTGTCATGCATCAGCTGCTTCTTTGGCTGACAAGACACCAAAACGTCGTATATGCCAAGTCAGAATACTGCATAAACGTGTTCAAACAATCATTTGGTTATATTGGTTCTATTCCATCTAGTGACATCCTTCAAGTCCCCACTGGTCTGAAAATGTTATCGCTTATAGTAGATGTTTGAGCTTCACTTTGCTGAATGATTTACGCTCACATTCATCTACCCTGCTCATTTTAAATGTGAGTTTGACATGTTTATGGAGATATAAGAAAATAGCTGTTTTTAGGAAATGGTTTGTAAAGTCCTACAACAAATAGGCCTGCTGTGATACAAGTTGAATGAGAGTTGCACTGCCATTTGTTGTAAGACAGTATGATAACAGGACTAGACCGATATCTAGTTAAAATAGTATTAATAGCAACTAAATAAAACTGTTTTCAAGAAGATGCAGAGAGACAGACGACTTAACGTACAGACACCCAAACAGGATTTCATGAAAGAAGGAAAAACTTGTTTCCCAGTCTTTTCTTAGGCTGTTCTGTTGCAGACATGGGCCATCTCCAGTACTTCCTCGTCATCTTCAGCATGCTGGGCTGTCACTGTCCTGCAATCAGCGGGCTGTTTGAGTGGCTGAGGCAGGCAGAAGCACCTCCAGCTGCAGCACCAGTTCCACCAGTAGCGGCAGTTCCAGCACTTCTCGCAAAGGATGCTCGGTTTGAGATGACTACTGTGGATGAGAAGTTCTTGGCTGAGGCAAAGCAGATGGAGCTTAGTCCTCTAGACAGCTGTCATTACAGGGTAAATATGGTCGTCTGGTTTCTCAAGCTTGGGAGCAGGTCATGATGTGTCTAATTGAATCCTATCTGGGACATGCATGTGACATTTGAGTAGCTTTAAATTCGATTCCTAAATATATTTCATGATATAATTTTATATAAGCCATTTACAGCTGCCTCCAGCCTCTTCAAAACAATACACAACTGTGACATGTTCCACATTCTTATATAATTACCACATTGGAGAAGATGCCACTTTCTGCTGTCTTCTGGCAATTATTAGCTGACTAAGCATTACAGCTCTAAAACACTGGTGTAAAGCATTTCCCAACTTTGCTATCAAATAATAAATGGAAGAAGTCACAACTGTGTTTGCTTATACATTTCATCACTGTAGGATCAGAATGGCATTGTGTTCAGTCGTTTGTCTGCCTTCACATCTGAAGAAGCGTTGTGCTTCCTCGCAGGTGGTTACCTGGCTAAAGGCGAGCTGTGAAAGCCTCTCAGAGGAGCAGCTTGCGAAGCTCGGAGTGGCCCTGTTCAACTGCCAGGCAGAGATTGAGGGGCGTCGTACCTACCCATGTACAGAGGAAATGGTACGCGTTTACAAAAATTCAAACTGCTAACAGTGTTTGACATTAACAATGTTGTTTTCCCCAAATGATGTCTGTGCTGTCATTTGGATGTTTCAGACTATCAAACAATGTACAGCTGAGATGGACTCTGACACCTGGAACGCGTACCACATAGTGAGCAACAGAGCACGCTCAGTTTGCTATGCGACTCGCCAGCAGCTCTTTCGGCGCAGAGCAGAACACACAGTCAACGCTCTCATCTCCACAGCTGCCAGCCAGCTGGATGCCATGAAGGACCTGAAGGTAGAGCGGTATTAACAAAGCTTGTTCAGCCTCGTGCACATTTTGGGGTCGGATCATGCTCAGATTCTGCCTGGGTCTACGTGGCTCTGACTGTGGTGTTTTAAACCAGGAGGGCCAGCTGGAGCTGAGGGAACTGACTGCAGCCTCCTTGCACAAGCTGCTTGAGGGCCACAGTGCTCTGCAGGCCCAGCAGGGAGAACTGTATGAAGGCCAGGAACAATTGGGGAGTTCACTGAAGGACAACCTGGAGCGTCTGGGTCAGGAGAAGGCCCTCATTGCCTCTGGACAGCAGCTGGTAGCCCAGCTCATTCAGGGCATTACAAAGAGAATGGGTGAGAGCTTTGATGTGTTTCATTAAGATGCTGACCAGCACGTTTGATAGCATGTCTGAAAACAGTTGTCTGTTCCTCAAATAGAGTATTTCTCTCTTCATCCTTTAGAGAACATGAGTGAGCATCTGCAGATCCATGGCTCTGAGGTGCAGGACAGTCATGAGGCAATTGTTAAGGACCTTGCTGATGTCAGACACCAAGCTCAGGACATCTATCAGAAAATTGGTAATAAAAACAGGGCATCACAAATTAAAACCATCACATGATTTCAAAATTTTGTAGTTAAAATCAGTTCTGTATTAAATTTAAAGTCCCCCTATGCTATGCCTGATCAGACCACAGTATACTGGAGCTTCTGCAGTACCAGGACCAGACCTCGCAGTACTACAGTGACCTGATGAACAAACTGGAGCGCATGAACAGCACTCTGGGAGTCATGCTGCGCTACATTGATAACTTGCAGAGCCGCATAGAGGAAAGGCTTCAGATGATCCAGGGCTACCTTGGCTGGGCAGGTGAGACAGCAGACCCACAGTGGAATGGAAAAGGGGACATCCCAAGTGTCTTGAAAGCACCGTTGTATCCCTCATTTGCATCTTTTCCTTGTGTCTTAGTCCCACAAGGAAAGATGTGAGGAAATATTAATGACATGGGATGTCCTTTCCTCAGATCCTTCATTCATAGTGTCTAATCACCAACTGATTTCTGATAAACTTCACCAAAGGACAGTCTCATGTATCCTCTGTCATGGCTCCTCTAGCACTATCCTCAGTCCTCGTTCCTCAGAGCCACTATAAGAGATTTGGAACGTCCTCGGTCGACTGGAATGACTTCCGGGTCAACCGAGGACATCGGGGTGATTTTATGAGAGACATGAGATACTTGAAAGTTTGTTAGTTTTTTTTATTTATTTATTTATTTTTATCTGCTACAAAGAAATGTAACATGTTTGTAATTAAATACAGAAATTTCTATGAATCCTTTTTGGCATATCAAGATCTCACTGAAATTTCTGCATTTTACAACTGTTGATCTGCTTTTACAAAGCATGAAGGATGTAAAAATGGAGGAAATAACACTTTTCTGCTCAAACACCCATGAGTTCAAAATATTGCAGTAAATGACAGTCAGCCATTAAGATGCTTAAACCAGCCCAGTGTCCTTCACAGTGAGTGTGATGTCCTTAAACCTCTAAAATGTGAAGTGTTACTTTGTTTTCATCATGAATCGGTGACTGTTTCCCGTGTGCTCTTCATGCTAACAGGTTTGAGCCTGACAGCCATGTGGACATGTGTTGCACACACAGGCTACTTTGTAGTGTGTGCAGTCCTGCTGACATTCCTGCGTTGTCCGGGTTTCTCTCGAGCCATGCTGCTGCTCACTGTCCCTCTTAACGCAGTGGCCGAGGTCAACCAGCAGCCAGCGCTGGATCTGTCCAGCCTCAGCCTGCTGCTGCTCGCTCTCTCTCTGGGTACAGACCTAATGTGGCTAACAATACAGATCATTTTTCTAATATGTGTCGCTCACAATGTGGTGGTCTCTCTCCCCCTCATGCCTGCAGGTCACTGGTGTGTGAATCAGCTTTGGGCGTGCTTCCAGGTCAGAAGACAGCTGGCTGCTCCACTGCCGCTGGCCCCGTGTGACACTGTGGAGCCACAGAAGCAGCAGCCATTCTGCCACACACATCCAACATCCTCTACACCACAGAGGTGAGGCTCCAGATGATGGCTGTTTTCATTTAGCCTGACAATTCAAAGTGTTTGTCATATGCACAGTTAGGAAATGTTTCCCTGTACAATGAAATTCTTACTTTGCCATCCACATGAATGCCACAACATACAAATGAAATATAAAGTAGATAAACACAAAATCTAAGGCACTTTAAGCAGCAAATGCAGCAGTATAAAAATATATAATATAATAAGAGAACGTATGCAGCATGTGCAGCAGTCAACAGTCAATGTGCAGTTGTTATGCATGTGCAATTAAATTCCTCAATTTAACAGAACCTCATTTGTTCAGAAGCCAAAGATATTCTGTTTACAATGATATAAGAACAAATACTTGCTGGCTGCATACTAATGCTGGTCTTCATATAACACTTTGTGCCAACATAAATGTCAGCATTTGTGCATCAGTGCCAAAGGTAAGTGCTCTTATTGCTTCACAGATGGTTTATTTAATGCAGTCTGTCTTATTTTATCCTCAGAGATGAAAAGGATGGCTTCACTGAGCATGAAGACCTGATCCAAGACAGCTTCATATCAGGTGGGAAATGTATACTGCACCTTTGACAGTAAGATGTCCATAAACATACCTTACCAGATTCAGTTACTTATGGTCTCATTTGTTTGTGTCCAGGTGACCTCGGCATATCTGCAGTGTCTCCCTTACACAGGAAGCCAATCCCACAGTCCAGGTTTACACCCATAATTGGTTCACCCAGTTAC